TGTCACTCAGTAGACAAGGATAAATGGAAATGTTATCATTATTAACATAATTATTACTTATTCAATGAATAGTAGTTTTCTACTTTTCTTTACCTCCGTAATGTCCCACACATTCTATTATTGCCTATAAACATAGTAAAAATGGACAGTAATCTATTTCCAAATTAATGTATGGTTCAAACTATTAAGAAGAGGTGTTGAACATAAAAAAAGACATGAAGAAATAGTAACTGATAGCACTCAAAATATTTCAGGTTAGAAAAAAATGGATGTTTTAACGTCAGAGATACTGAACTACTTCTATTTTATTAATGTATTTTTTAAAAGGATAGCCTAGCTAAATGATTTATGATAGCACTTTGTAGTATATTAGTAAGTGTCCTGTAGTATATTTTGTAAATACAATGACATTTTATTGATAAGAGTTTTCATTACAAACCTCTGTTATTAAATCACTCACGCTTCTAAAGACAGGTTAAACTGCCAGGTTTTAGGTAAGAATTATAGGGTTTATGGATTCAAGAAGTGAAAATCAGTATGCTTAAACTGTATAACGTGTATTCATTGTGAAGGTGAGGCATGGTAGAACAAGAAACAATTACAAGACTAAGGTTGCAAAAAAGTGAGGAAATGAATCTGTGTGTGTGTGTGTGTGTGTGTGTGTGTAAGCTCCCTCTAGAGGGATGTTTACTGTCATTTTTGCTTAAGTGAGACTAACAAGTCTTTGCCAGCATTTTTATTTTTATTTGACTTAATCAAAAATTGTGTCCATGTTGACAGTATTTTCATTAAAGACTTTAACTCTGATTGAGGGACACCCTGCTGGCCTGAGGGCAGAGAGAGGACCAACTGCTGAACTTGAGCAGGAATTCTTGCAGAAATGAAAATAGAATCAATCACGAATATATTTTGATGACATATTACTGATTCCAACACAGCAACTGACACATTTTCATTTATTAGAGAATTGAACCAAAGAAACCCATAGAATGACAATGTAGCAATTTGGTCTGATTTGCTCCATCTTCTACTTAATGTGAGTCAGAACTGTATCCTTATGGAGGGGTGTAGGTCAACTGTACTTCTCAGGAGAGCTGGTCCCATTAAACAAGTACTTGTTCACGAAATAAAGTTAATAAGCATGGAGATCTTTTATAACTAAGTATTGATTATTGGGTTTTTTACTCAAAGCAACAAAAGAAGTTCTTGTTTTATACCATTCTCATCTATTTAACTTTGCTGCAATGAACTGAATGTTTGTGTTTCCCAAATTTCACATGTTGAAATTCTAACTCCCGATGTGATGGTAATAGGAAGCAGGGTCTTTAGGAGGTGGTTAATCCTTCATGAATGGAATTAGTGCCCTTATCAAAGGACCCTCAGAGTGTTCTCTTGCCCTCTTTTCTCCATGGGAGGACACCATTAGAGGTTGGAACTTTGCAACTTGGAAGAGAGTCTCTCTCTTGTGCTTGACCATGCTGGCGCCCTGGTTGATCTTGGACATGCAGCCTCCAAAACTGTGAGAATAAATTTATGTTGTTTATAAGCCACCTAGTCTATGGTACTTTTAGCAACCCAAATGAAGACACTTGCTTACAGATTTGGGGCTACGGAATACCAAGACAAGAGTTAAAGCACAGTAAAAGGATATAGAACACATGGTCTCTTAGCAAAGACATGCAATTTTTGGAATGAAATGTGTCTGCTGAGGTTCTTAAACTTTTGCTTCCATCAGAATGACCTCAAAAGCTTGTTTAAACAACAATTGCTGGACCTTCAATTCTATGTTGTTGATTCAGGAGGTCTGGGGTGGATCCCATGAATTAGCTTTTCTAACCAGTTCCCAGTGGATACAGCTGCTGCTGGTCTAGCCACCACGCTTGACATTCTCTGGTGTATGTGTTGTGGATTTCTATAGGGTGATTTTGCGTTTCCTAGCAGTAATGAAAATATAAGAATTTGCTTAAGGAGTCTCGGACAACTGGCCTTCATTTATTCAACAAATACTGAGTGCCCATAGAGTCTCACTAGGTCTTAAATCTCTACCTATGAATAAGACTTAGCTCATCATTACCTTAAGGTGCCTAAAAGGTAAATATGAAATTCTTATCAAGTATGGTATAATTGTGAGGATGCTGTAAAACAAGATAGAGGGACACTGCCTAGACTTGCGGGGTGGTCAAGAAAATCTTAGAGGACATAACATCTCCACTTATTTCTGACTTAGCTACTAAACAAAAAAATCAAACAAAAGAAAAACCTATAGCTTTTGAGTTGCTGTCCTCTCCTTCTAAATCAATATGAGAGCTTCCTTAGAATGTTCCACCTGCTACCTCTCTCCACTCTTTACCATAGCCCCACAAATCGCTATTCTCATAAAAATGCAAATATGATCTTTCAAGGCTAAAACTTCCTCTGCTTTCAGGACTAGTGTCATCTAACTTATCTTTCACCACCTTTTCCAGTCTGTGCTTTTCACCTCTCCACATGCTACCGTCCACCAGTCTGTGGCACCTTACTCATCTTGGACATGGCCTTTCTCTTTCACCTTTGGGATAGTGTAGGCACTCTTTTCTCCATCTGGATATTTTTGTCCTGGGATTGTCCACCTCCATCTTATCTATTGCTGCTCAGTGCTCTGGTCCTCTGTGAAGCCTTCTGAATCTTCCCTGGCAGATAAACACTTCTTTCTCTTTATTACAGCATTTAGCGGATATGTCCTTGTATATGTGATGGACTAATTACTTCTTGACTTGTCTATGCCCTCCAGACTTGACTTGGATTCCTGCTTGTCAAAGACTATGAATCATTTATTTTATCACCATGGTATTTAGCACAAAGTTAAGTACACAGTAGGTGCTCAGTTAATTGGCTGCTGGATGAATACATGACAAAAGGGAATTTTAAAAGATGAGAGTAAAATAAAAATTTACTCTGCAGCTTTCCATTTCCTAATATTTTTTACTCAATAGGAATTTTAAATATCTGGGTGAGAGAATCTGACAGACATAGCTTGAATCTAGAGTCTGTTATTTTTTTTCTAAACTGTGATGGGGAGTGGTGTTGAGTTTTGAGATACATAAAGTTTTCTTTTTTCTCTTTCTTTGTTGAAGTATGATTAACATGTAAAAGGCTGTATATATTTAATGTATACAACTCAATGAGTTTGGCGATAAGTATCCATCCATGAAACCATCACTACCATCAATCGCCTCCCAAAGTTTCCTCTCACCCTCTTTATTACTATATTATTCATTCTTTGTAAAGATTTTCTCTTATCAGCTTTCAGGTAGGTCGGTTAACTACCAAAGGCAAGTAGAGCCTGATTAAAAGTGACAGATTCATGTCTCTCATTTATTTCCTTTCAAACTCCTAAATCTCACTGATATTAATGTAAATATATTATCCACAAGAATAAAAGAATTAAAAAGAGGAGAAAATAGCAGATGAGAGATTCATTGAAGTTTAAGGAGATGAGAAGCAGAAGGAAAATAACCAGTGTAGTGGAGAGTTTAAACCTTATTATCTTCAAAGGGGGGAGACTATCAATTTCTCTATAGAATTCTGAGACTTTTAATGATTGGCAGCACCACAGATGTAGAGAATGAAGGTTTAGAATAGTATTTCCATACAGGGGTTCTTTTGTGGCATTTTCTGGGAAATGTATATGTTTTTCTGAATATAGAGAAAAATCAGTTGGGAAAACAGGAAAAAATTATAATTCTCTTGCTGGAATTAAAACTTCATAATCACCATAGAGATGTTACTAGTTTGAAAGAATAGACAGACATCAAGTTGAAAGCAGTAGCAGGAGTCATTGATACACAGAATGGAGCATAAGACCAACATTTCCAGGGCCAGGATGTGAACAGGGAGGAGAGAAGTAGTCATGGTCTTATCAGTGTCTGTTGTTACATTATAAGTGTCTGTTTGTGGTCCCATCTGCTTTTAAGGGTGAATCATTCTTGCAAATAAAAGAAATAGTAATACATTTATATGTATTGTATACTTTATACAAATCCTTTGAGTGTTATTCCAAGAAATTACAGATTATAAAAGTAAAATAAGTTCTTAAATTGGCAATTTTGGCATGTGATTCTGTTAACCGTATTTGACTATCAGAATGTTGTGTTATTGTAACACTACCCAATATTCTTTTAAACACTGGTGTTTTCCAGTGTTTAAAAGAACTTCATCGGCTATGTTTGTTTGTAAATAATTTAACAGAGGAAATGCAAGGGAAAAAATATGAATGTTTTTATGGAATATTCTGGCAAGTATTTAGTTACTAATGTAAAATTTGAAAGCAAAAGCAACATAAATTTCAATGACAAAACCAAATTCAGGAAAAGTAGCTCTACTTTCTTCATTCAAAAAGGAAATAAGCCTTTATGAACCAACATACACTCTAATGTGCAACTTGAAAATCTTTGCATACTACCAAACCACAGATGCAAAATGAAAGATATTTTTTCATAAAATAAACTATTTATAATACAAATCAAGCCTATTGAGTGGGGGTTATTAATGCTTTGTAGGTTTTAAAATTTCTTTTTCAGAATAATATTTTAAAAGTATGTGGTATTTTCTTTCTTTCTTTCTTTCTTTCTTTCTTTTTCTTTCTTTTCAAAGAAGCATTAAAGTTTTATTTGACATTATACATAAACCACACTATAATATCTTTTAGTAGGTAAAAGACAGCATTTTTAGATACAGGGAATTCTAATTAGATTGACATAGTTAAGACCAAAAATATAAAGTAGACATTGCTACTTTATCTTCAGTCTTTGCTTTTAAGAGACCAATGAACACAAAAAAGATGAGTCTTGCTTGGTTCTGAGACAGTTAAGGGACTTCCTCAGTATTTAAATATATTTATATAACCAGTTATATACATCTAAATATAAAACCAATTTCCAATGAATTTTAAGATGGCATTCACTGTCTTTGTGAAAAGTTGAATATTACTAATCAAATACAATCTTATCCTTAGAAGGGGAAAACAGTGATAGCATTTTCTAAATTGAAATTACTGTTGAAATTTAAAAAAAGATCTTATTCACATAACCACAAACCAGTCCTAATTAAATTAGGACTGTCCAACAAAAATATTCTGTCAGCCACTCAAGATATGAATTCTAGTGTAAGAGATCTATTAAATTATGGTACACATAAAAAAAAGTCATGAGACATTTCTGTTTTGTAATAAATAAGGGAGTGGCCAATTATTACTCATTAGTAGCTTTTTTGAGATAAGCTATCAAGTTTGCCCTTTCTCCCTTTTTCTTAATGACAACAAAGATCATTTTTGTTCCAGGGATGTACTTCTCGGGATTCTCCAAATATTCCATCAGGGTATCTTCTCCCCAGGTGATGCCTTCATTCTTATTGGCATCTGAGAATCTAGCAGCCTGGCCTGTCTTCCACCCAAAGAGACTATGGAGATTTGGCCCAGTCTTGTGCTTGCCTCCCTTTTCCACGGTGTAACACTAGGCACACTTCTGAACAAAAATCTTCTTGACTTTCTCAACATCACTCATATTTAACTCTCTTTCATTGCCAGCACTACAGAGTTTCCCACTTTGAAGCTGGACGTTCCGCTCTCTAGTATTATTTTTCAAAACTGAATGATTTTACTTAGCAGTTATTTTATTTTGTGTTTTCTTCTTTTAATTTTTTAAATTATCAAGTGTCTATGTCAGAGATAATTTTTCCAGACTATCAAAATATATAATTTTGTTATAATAAGATTAGCTTATAATGACCACAAGTCATTCATTTGTCACTTAAAAAAAAAACAACCAAAAACCTCTGCAAATTTAGTTTGACTCTATCACAGAAAAATGAGTTAGTGCCCATTATTATGGTCACTTATTATTATTTAAAAGCATGCAAATAAGCAGTATGAAAAATACAGAGTAACTTATAATTTCCCCAAATTCCTCTGAATTCTAATTCCTCAGACTTGAATTATGTGAGAAATTTGAAAGCACAAGAATGTAGTTGAGCAAAAAAGAGCTGGTTCAAGGTTTGTATATTGAGGACTCCTAAAGCATCTCACACAATCATGATACTAGCCCTCTTCTCTCCTACTTTCCAGTATCTAAACTTCTGTCCCACCACACCCAACCACAGGATACTGAGTGTTAAACTTTTAGAGAAATATCTTCAGACTTAGGGAAGCTGCAATTGAGATTGAGGTTGGAAAAAAAGGCAGATTAAATCAAATCTAGATACTCTTCTCTGAAACCTTCCTTGCTCTTCCTCCATTTAAGTCCCTAAATCTCACTAGCCAAATAGAAACTGTCTCTAACTTGCTTGTCCTCTCCCAATCCTGTCAAATTCAGGAGCATGGAGAAGTCAATAGTCTATGAAATAAATGTGTTGCCCAACATCGATGTCTGCTGGTCCCTCATTCTCCTTATCCACGTTATTTCACACTAATCAGGATTCTAGTGACTCATTTTTAAATAAAAATAAGTAGCCAGATTAAAGAACTTCTAATAATTTAAGGAAAATCTTCATCATAGAAAAAACTAGAAAGGAAGATATAAAATAAATACTTCAATACAAGATTAGGATGATGAAATCTCAGAGGAAATGAAACAAATATATAATTAATGGGAATTTTGGGAGAAACTATTAAACATTAAAGATTAAATCAGAAAGTCCACTATTTAAATAGAAGGTGTTACAGAATTAGAAAGCCAGAAGAAAAAAAAAATAACTGAAGAACAGAAATTATCTAGGAAATGGTACAGAAATAGTTTTCAGAACTGAAAACCTATTTTTTTCTGATTGAAAATATTCAGTGAGTGCCCAGCATCATGAAACCTATGCCCACTCTAAAGCATACATTTCAGAATATCAGGAACAAAAAGGAGATCCTAAAAGAATCAGAAAGTAATTTTAAAAAATATATGAAAAAGTTGGAAGGAGAATGACTTCAGACTTTTCAACAGCAACACTGAAAATTAGAAGTCAGTGGAACATTGCCTTTAAAAGACCTTTCTGAGTGAAAACATTATCAACCTAGAATTCTATATTCAGCCAAACTGCGAATCAAGAGTAAAGGTAAGGACATTGGAGAAGATTGTGTCTATCTCAAGAAACTAGAATGTCCAAAAATAGACTGCTCTAAAAAGAACACTGCAGATCCCAGAGAAAAAAGACCATCTCACTCAGCAGAAATGTGAAGAGATGTACCAGGTTTAGTGACCAAAAAATGACTAATTGGAATCAGATGAGAAGCCACAGTGAGAATAACATTTTCAAAACAGAAAAAAAGGGACTAATATTTTATTTCATATATTTGAGTACTTGGAAAAATATTTGCAATTGTTTCAGAACTCTGTTGAGTATTTAGAAAAAATAGTAAAAAGTTTATAAACACTAAAAAAAAAGAGAGGAAAGAATAGAAGAGTAAATGACCTTAGTATATTGCTTGACTAATTTAAAATTCTAGTGATGTAAACAGTTGATTATTTATCCAAAATTTGTGATAAAACAATACAGAAGAGGCCAGGTAGCAAAGAACTGTTGTCTCTAATCAGCAGCTAATGAGGACCAGAGGACTGCCAACAGCCATATGAATGGGTTTAGAAGCAGATCCTCCCCTACTTCAGCCTTTAGGTGGCTAGATCACTGGCCCATATCTTGATTGCAACCTTAAAAAACACCTTGAGTCTGAGTCCCCCCCCCCCAAGCTGCTTCTGGATTCTTGACCCACAGACACTGAAACAACAAATATTTCTTGTTTCAACCTGCTAAATTTAATAGTAATTTGTTATGCAGTAAACGATAACTAATACACCTTTCCTTTCTTCGATATACATTTATTGCCAGCAAGGAAGGTAATCTTCAATTATATAAATGTTGTTTTGCTTGATATAGAACTACGGAGTTGGTTTTGTTTGTTTGATTTAATTTTAGAACTTGTTAGTGGCCAGAGAGGATGTCTTACTTTCTTCACTTAGTAGGCTCAAGAAACATAGTTGAAAAATTAGAATCAGACAGACTATGGAACAAATGCTTCTAATGATATTTTTGTTTCTCTAAACTTCTTAGGTTAGAATGCTGTCACAACTGGTTGACAGTAGTAATAACCTTGCTAAAGTTATCCTTCAGATCTTTGACCCAATAATTTTAATATGGATAGCACCCACTGACTAGAGATACAGTCATATGTATCACAAAACTCACCTTCCAGTTCTGAGGATTGATTGGAGTGGACACCCGATTCTTGCTGAACAAATCAGATTCTCCTAGAAACTTAGAATTGGCATACTTTGATGAAGTCATTTAACTGTGGGGATCTAAAAAGAATGTTCTCTTAGACTTAGGATCTAACATGCAGCTATCATACAACACATATACACAAAAAAATAAGAAGGCAAGACAGCCCATGAAGGGGTGAACCTGAAGCCAATACAAGAAAGAACAATGGTAAAGCAAACCCAGAGCTGTATGTGTATACACATACACACACACACACACACACACACACACACACACACACACACACACACACCCCATACACTCAGACACGTGGTTCCTTCAATTAAATGTCTCTTAAATGGGCTCTGTGGGCATTTTCTCTTACTTAAGTGAGTTGAGTTTTGGTGAGTTTTTATTCCTTGCAAACAAACCAATCCTGGATGAGATGGAAGTTGGAGAGACCATTCACTGGGTTTATCTGAGAGGTGAACTAGAGGAGTCACTTCATTTCTGTAACAATGAACTTTATTCGGAATTGTGTTCCTAAGATGCTGACCTTAGGACAGACAAGAACAGTGTGTAGCAAGCTCTTTATAAAAGCCATCATCAATTAACTGTGATTTATTTATTTAAAAATGTTTTTATATAAATTAAGCTTTTTGAGTCTCAGTTGATCTCAATGGAAACCATTCCATCTTATTTAGCAGTAGCATGAAAAAATGAACATTTTTTAATTTAATAGGCTCTGCTGTTATAAAAACTGTCAATCACAGCAGATTATTTATTTGTATATATTAGCCAACATTATAGGTGCACATCTTAGATTATCTTGGCTTTTTTTTTATTGTTGTGGAATGTTGTGGGTTATACTGACACTAATTTTGAATGTCTTCTAAGATTTTACTATTTCTTAGATTCATTCTTGATTCTATGTACAAAAGTCACAATTTTTAAATGAAAAATGAAGATAATCTCAAAGTTCACTTTATCTAAATTCATCATCCCTGCCCACTATCTTTATGTTGTGAGCCACCAGCTTTTATGGAAAACACCTTCATGGTCTTTTTAAGCCAGATTGTTTTAAACATCATTCATTTATTTAAAAAATATTTGTTAGACCAGACACGGTGGCTGAAGCCTGTAATCCCAGCACTTTGGGAGGCTAGGTGAGGAGATTGCCTTAGCCCACCAGTTCAAGACCAGCCTGGGCAACTTGGTGAGACCTCGTCTCTATAATAAACCAAAAACTTAACCAGGCGTGGTAGCGCACGCCTGTAGGTCCAGCTACTTGGAAGGCTGAGGTGGAAGGATTGCCTGAACCAAGCAGATCGATGCTGGAATGACCATGAGTGTGCCACTGCACTTCAGCCTCCCAGAGTGAGACTCCAACAACAACAAAAAATATATATATATTTGTTAGGTTGTTAGGTGGAGAGGCAAGATGGCAACGGAACCAGTCACAGTGTGTAAGTCTCTGCATGGTGAGTATGTATAAGAACAATAATGCATATGTGTGTGTGCCCAAGTGGGTGAGCAAATGTTTGACTGAGGGAAGGCATGGGAATAAGCTCCAGGTATCCCCTGCAGAAGCTGATGTAACTTACCACGGCACTGAAATTCGGTACCTGCTGCTCCCAGAACATCTGCCATTCTCAGGGCATCTCTCAGGAAAAAGAAGCAGAGATCAGCTGTCTCTTGGTACCTAGCACCTGACCTGACACCACCAACTGTGGCAATAGGTCAGGTACTGGCACCAGGGCCATGGAGAAAGTGTAGGAAGGAGGTCCAGAGCTGAGTTCTGCCATAGGAGAAGATGCCGGCTGGTGCCATTTTCTCTGTCCCAGAACCTGACAGAGATGTCCTTTGGCTTGCCTAGTACTAAGAAACCTGAATCCTGGGACTGAGGGGTGATCTCTGCACCCGATCATCATTTGCCAGGGAGGATACTCCAGGTATATGATACTCAAAGATAGTGGTTGGCTTGGGAACATAGATATCCCACCCTCCACACTGGCCCTTTCACACCATGCAGCACACCAGTAGGGGTGAGTCTTGATCCAATCCAGTCCCCTTTCCCCAGAAGTCCATAGGACATCTGACCTACATGGAGAGTAGCCTGATTGCCCGTGCAGAGAGCAGAGGGGAAGATCTAGAGACCCAAGCCAACTCCCTCCCATAGCAAACCCAAAACTGCGGTGCTTAGGACACCTCAGTAAAAAAGGAACCTGAAGTTCCAGAAATGGCCACTAGAGAGAGCAAGAGGGAACTATAGTCTTATAAAAGTTTTGGGTTTTTTTCCTTTTCTTTTTTTACTCACCCTCTC